GGGTAATGCTGGCTCTGAAGCTGTGGTGGGAAAGCCCTCCCGCTCCAGCATACATCACTGCTTGGGATTCCTTACCCGGGGAGTGCAATGCGAGAAAAAAAAGTCAGCGGCTCTTCACTCGACGTTTTTCCACTAACTGGTCCTGGATTAAGCTCCAAAGTTTTTATCAGTCAGATTCCACCGTGAAAAATGTCTGTTTTATCCCCTTTTATGAGTTTTTGGCCATTGACTATCTTTAAATCGTTGCTTCCTGGTCAACAGTCAGCTCTGGAAGCGATCGCTTTTTTCTTTTTTTTTCTTTCTTTTTTTGAAGCGAGTAGTTGAAGCAAATGGAGCATAAGAGCCCCCTGGTGGCTGAAGAAAAAATCCATGTATAAGCCGCATGGTTCAAAGTTCAGGAAAAAAGTCGCGGCTTATAGTCCGAAAAATATGGTAGTTTGGAGAAAAATGGCTCATCATGGCTTTGCAAAATTTTTGGAAATGCAATTTTGGATTTCACAAATCTGCCTAATTTGCAAAAACCCTCACAAAGTGAGCTTTACACCTTTGACTAAGGTGTTAAGCACACAGCAGCTCTCTGTGCTGCCACAGCTTGATGAGCGTATTAGTGCCACCATATATTTGGCAGTATTTGTTTTATCGATGTGATGCAGAGTAGGAACAAATATGGAGCAGATATGGTTCAGCTCAGAGGAAGGGAGGGTGGCTGTCGAGATGAACTGGGAAGGAAAGGAGAGGCAACCAAAAGACTCAAAAGGTGACAAGAGGTTTGTTTGAGATGTTAGGAATCATTAGGACTCTGTACCACAGAGAAGACAGGGTCCCCACAAACACAGGAGCCAGAGAGAGGGAGAAATCACACAAAAGACAGGCCCTGGAGCAGTGCGGTTATCGTAGCCGGGCTTTCCTTAAAGCAGACAAGAAACCCAAACAGGACTCCAGTCAACCACCAGGTGAAAATGAAGACCCCAAACCCAGACCCAAACCAGTCGTCATTCCATATGTTGTTGGAGTTTCAGAGAAATTGAGAAGTTTATTCTCTATACATGACATCCCAGTGGCTTTCAAACCCCAAAACACATTACGACAAAGATTAGTTCACCCCAAAGATCCGGTCCCCCGGCACAGAGTAATATAGTATATGCTGTTAGGTGCCAGGAAGATTGTGGTCAGTTATACATCAGGGAAACAAAACAGCCACTGTTCAAAAGGATGAGCCAGCACAGAAGAGCTACATCATCAGGCCAGGACTCTGCAGTTTACACTCATCTACAGGCCAGCGGTCACTCTTTCAGAGATGAGGATGTTCTCATTCTTGATAGAGAGGAAAGTTAGTTTGAGAGAGGAGTAAAGGAAGCCATTTTTGTGAAGAAAAACCCTCCACCATTAAACAGAGGTGGAGACCTTCATGTCCAGTTGTCCTCCTCCTCCAATGCTGTTATTGCAAGTATGACTCAGCGCCCTGTGAGCAAAAAGTGTGAATCAGGGCCCCAATGATATCAGGTGATGGAGCACATGGCCCTATATGGGCAATAGAGTTAATCAAGGCACTAACAATCTATTGTTTGGCTGCTGGTCCTCTTCTGAATGTGACCAACCTGTTTGTCCACCATGTGGAGGCAGTGCTTATAAGGCTGAGTTCACCTGAATCTCCTCAGACTGAAGGAGTCTCTTGGAGGAGAGACAAAACTTTTCATTAAAGAAGAACCCATCCAGAGGACCTACTTATTTTTTCTTTTTTATTACATCAAATAATTTGTGACGGAACTGCCGAATAAGGTCTGGACCTACCAACTACAATTTGGTCGTCTTCATTCCCCTCTGGCTCCAACATGTAAGCCTGGATGGACAAGTCTTTCATTGTTAAAATCTTTTAGTTAAATTGTAAATAAAATGTTTCTGCACTGCTAGAAAATGGTAACCCCCACTCTCACACTGGAATGGACCATTCTGGAAGCCAGAGGTGGACGCGAAGTGCCTTGAAGGAGCAGCATCAAAACGAGTTGCTTTGAGGCACACATCAGAAAAGGGGTGAAGGAGGGGCTGGTAGTTAGAATAAAAAGGAATTCAGACCAAAGCATTGCAGTTGCACTTTTTATAGACCCCAACTGAATGATTTAAATGTTAAAAAGAAGGATTTAAGAGCATGTTATGTCCACTTTAATGTTGACTCCAGGGAGTCTAATACAAGGATCATAGTGAGTCTTTTTTTAATACTGATTTGACCTCATGTGTTTTCAGAATTACAAAATCAAACTTCTGTATAGTAACAGGTTTAGCAGATAACGTCACAGCTTTGAAGAGTGTCAGCTCTTTCCCAGTTTTACGGAATCAGATTCCTCCGCACCTCCCTGCAGAGGAAGAAAACTCTCTCCTCCTCCATAATTCTGAAAACAACACACATTCTTTAATTCTGACATCGCTGCTGCTCATCATTAAATTTCTGTTTTTTGTGCAGTTAAAGTAATCTGTCTGACATTGCAACTTTCATCTCGTCTGTGAAATGCTGTCACTGTGTGTGTGTGTGTGTGTGTGTGTGTGTGTGTGTGTGTGTGTGTGTGTGTGTGTGTGTGTGTGTGTGTGTGTGTGTGTGTGTGTGTGTGTGTGTGTGTGTGTGTGTGTGTGTGTGTCAGCTGCTCCAGATTCCAAGTCTCTGTGATTAAACTGTAATTAGGTTGGTTAAACCCCCTGCAGTGCTCCCTTGCTGTCGTCTTCTCCTTCTCCTTCTCTTGCTCTTCATTTTTCTCCTGTCGTGTCTTTGCCTTTCATTTGCTGTTGAAGGATAACAGTTTTGTGGTTTGTCGCTCACTGTTCTTGCCCCTCCCCCCACACTCCAACAGAGCCACTCTTTTGTTTCGTTTTCATGTGAAATCCGTTCACTTGCTTCTTTTAGATTGTCTTGTCTTTATAAAAAGAGAGCGTCTGCGTCTTTTCTTGGTTCAGATGTTTTGTCGTCTTTTTTTCTTTTCTTGTCTCTGTTTCAGATGGGTCGGGATACGATTCTCCAGAGCCGTTCCTGACTGATGGGGGTCCCGGCTCCAGGGCAGGGTGCTTGGCCCTGTTAGCCGCTCTGGCCTCACCGTTCCTGGGACTCCTCTTCTGGCTGTGACCCTTCTCTCTCCTCTCCTCCTCCTGGAGCTTCACATCATAGGATGATGGGCTGGGCTGGCTGTCCCTCTAAATTCACCACCCCTCAGGGAAGCCCTCTTTTCTGCTCCTTTTTTTCTCCCCACCTCCACCTCGATATGAACACCAACCACCCCCACCCCACTGCCAGCCCCTTTCTTGGCCCAGCCACAGACACCCTTCCCAGGCGTGGTGGCGAGCGTTGGAGGGTTTAAGGTCATCTGGGAAGACGCCCTTCATCTCCCATTCCTGAGGTCTTGGTTGAACGGCACCTCTCAGCTGAAAACACAAGAGAAAAGTCTCAGCACTCATATCAGGGGGTCTTTTTTTAATTTGACTATTGACTCTTGGCCACTGATGGGGTAGATGTAGCCATGGCTGTGATTAAACTTGTCGTCCCAGTGCAGTTCCTATCATCCAATCACAGTGGGATGCATTAAGCGATAGGCCTGAATGCACAAAAATTGGATTTTGCTCACATTGCTATCCCTTCCTTTAAAACCGCGAATTGGAAGTGGCCGTGCTTGCATTGTAATTGGAATTCTATACAACGTGGACCGTTTCCAATTGCACCAGGGATAAGAGCAAACGCACTGAAATGAGAAAAGAAAAGGAATAAGGGGGGAGGGGGGCAATGAAACCACAAATTTTAATAAAACTAAAATGAAAACGTACGGAGCCCACATAGGGCCAAACGTAAAAAATAAAATTTAATGCTGAAAAAAATTGTTCCGTCAGTTTAGTAAAGCAAAAACACAGATTTTCAATAAACAGTGTTTATGTACAGAATGTGTTGTGCTTTGTTTTAGTGTGGGGGGCAAAACAGGAGTTTTAGGGACAAATGGCAAAATCAGGCTGTAAATATGTGAATGGTTTCTTCTATTCATTTTTTTCCAATCAGACTACTTCTGATTAATTTGGGCTATTTTAACCATTCACATATCAAAATGTTTGGCTTAATCAAGATTAGTTATCTATGACTTTTGGGTTTTGTAACTTTTAGGCTCTTGGAAGTATTTAGTTTTTAATATTTTTCCATTTTGCTTCGTTTTGCTGCTGTTTATATTTTACCTTTAACACCTCTTCCGCAAACCTCAGCTAGACCAGCACATAGCATTCACACTGTATCACTACAGAAAATACAATTTCCTTAATAATCAATAAATTATAGATAAATCAACATAATATTTTTGCTCTACTATGAAGCATTTTTTGATAATTACTTAAAGAGTATGACTCTGCTTCCTTCTAAAATCACATTAAAATGTAATCAAATCCTTTTTTATGTTTTACCAACAGTTCAATTTAAAACATGCTGATTTGTATAATTTTGGATAATTAATTTCCTTATGTACTAACACGTGTCCTATTAGGAATAGGACTTGTTTTGATTCAAATTAATCTGTGGTGTTTTACCTGCTTTTCTGCAGTTGACAGAATGCGATGTTTGTAGTTTTACACTCTTGATGGCTTGTTTGGAAACTAGAGATCCTGGATATAAGGATTTCCCCAACATTTTAAAGTTTCTGAACTTAAATGAGGGCAGCACAGAGGCTCATTTGGTGGAGCTGTTGCCTCTCAGAAAGTAGGTTGCTGGACAGAATCATGGCCTGGGACTGTTCTGGGTAGTTTGCATATTCTCTCCGTGCATGCATGGGTTTTTTTTGGGTACTCCAGTTTCTTGCACAAAGCAAAAACATGACCGTTTGAATAACTGGCAACTCTAAATTATCCCCACGTGTGAATGAGAGAGTGAATGGTTGTTTGTCTCTATTGCCCTTTTTCCACTAGTGCCACTTAGTGTAGTGTCGGTACGGTTTGGTCCGGTTCCAAGCCATTTCCATTAGGCCAGATCCATGGAACCGGCACTTTTTTTTAGTACCTACGTCATTGTGGTTCCAACCGGCCCCAGCTGACACCAAAATGCGACGTCAGAACACTGTTCGTCACTGATTGGCTAAATTTTTGCAAATGTTTAAAATTTCAAAAGTTATTCACCAAATGTGTTTCCATCTCTCATTTTGCCCATTAATTATTTTTTTCAAAATACCTAAAAACCACCTCCACCAAACGCCCAAAACACACCCATTGGGACCGGACTGGAACATCAGTGGAAAACCAATCGGTCCGACCTGTACCGACCCGTACCCACACCGACCATTCCAACACTACACCATGGAAAAGGGGCGTATGTGTCCCTATGATAGATTTGCAACCAGTCCAGGCTGTCCAGGTTCTATGTGAACTGATTCTTACAGACCCCCCTCCCCCACACCAATCATAATAACGTAATACTTTATATGATTATATTTTCAGTGCCAGTTTGATATAAAAACTATCCACTTTGGCTTTTAGGAAACTGATTGCTCCATGTGGTGGCAAGTACAATCACAGTCAGTTTTAGTGGGAGGGTGGGGATTTGGGGTATTCTGGGTGAGATGTAGATTTTCAGGTGGGGTGTGTTTTTGTCTTATCAATGTTTCTAAACAAAGCATTTATCACGGCCTGGTCAACACAGGCATCTCCAGCACTATTTAATGTCGTCCAGGTCGGGTGACTTTTAGATTGGTGGCTTTCTCTTGTATGAATGTACCACTGGCCACCCACCTCTTTGTTTGTTTGTACTATCATGACTGTGGTCACTGACAGACTGGCAGGATTAACTAATGGGTCTGAGATCTGGAGGGAAAACAGGCGAGGGAACAGAGAACGGGTGACACTCATGTTGCATGACCACTGTGAAACCTTCAGATCAAACTTGTTTCTAATGATGATATATTTTTTCATGGGGAAAAAAATAACGAAGAAGAAGAAGAAAATTCAGAAACACCCTGCTACCGCTCTCTTGCTCTCCCTGAGACTTTTTCAAAACATCAAAGAGAGAAATTCAAACTACTCCTTCACACGGTTTCTCCTGTCTGGGCTTTCAGTTGTTGATGGATTAGCTCGGGTCGGGAAGATAAATGGACCCGCAGGGTGAAACTGACTGGAAATCAGCCCCTCGGAGCCCGACGCTCAGATCACAGTGGACGTAAACAGAGACTGAAGCTGGTCCCGGGTCTGAGGGTTAAACCAATAAAGGAAGCGCATGGACTGTGGCAAATGAGGCAAGGTGTGCGTGCGTCTGTGTGTGTGGGGTAGCATCACAAAAACACACACATATACACGCAGACATATCTACACGAACACTTACAATGTTGCTGGAAGCACTCGTGGACTCTGAAAGGAACGGCACAAAAGAGAGCGAACGGACGAGCGAAGGGAGAGAAAGAGTGTGTGCATCAAGGGACTGGGACTTCTTTCATGTTGGGAAGCACTGTGAACACACGCAGACACACACACACACACACACAAAGGTCCAGATTGCCTATCAAAGTAAAATTAGGGGCAATAAGAGGTCTGATAGAATGCCCCGGCAACATTCGCTGCTCTGATTCTCACACCAGCCAGGCAACACTTTGACACTTTTACACACACTGAAAAACACACACACACACTTATTGTGACACATTCACACGTACAGCACACACAAGCTTGCACGGGCGCAAACACACACTTTGAACCAGACAGGGAGGAGTGCGTGCACGTACGAAGGCACAAAGTGGCATACGCACTTCACATCACATCACATCACATCACACTGGGTGTGAGGGAGACCTTCTGTCCTTGTAAAAAGATAACAGGGTAGGCTGAAAACTCTTACCAAGCCTCCACATCAATCAATTCACTGGATTTGCTCCTAAGACAGAGCAAACTAGTAATAAATATAAATCATAGGTCTAATTTGATAGTATGTATTTACCTAATTAAAGGGACACATCAGTTCTTTGAGATGGGGTTCTGTGGGAATATTATGAACAATCATTATCTTACCTGTTGTAAATAGCTTAACAACCTTACCGTATTTTTCGGACTATAAGCCGCACCCGCCATTTTTTTTAAAAAATCCGCGAACATTAACATATAAGCCGCACCGGACTACAAGCCGCACCCCCAGCATTAAAAAAAACAGTACACCCAAATTTGCCATCAAAAAAGTGAATTCAACATCAAAACATAAAAAGCAAACCTTTAGGAATTAAAGTTCGGAGGAATACGGTTCATTTAACTGACCTTATTTTGGTAGTTTTCTTTAACAGTTTCTGGTCCAACAAAACGTCTCATTCATCGTCCTCCNCTGGAAGCATTCCTCAGAGATTTTGGTCCATATTGACATGATGGCATCACACACACACACACACACACACACACACACACACACACACACACACACACACACACACACACACACAACGGCCCATGTACAGATAACCACACTTACCGACATATTTAGGAAAAACAAATGCAGATGTAGAGATTTGACATGGCATGGACATACAAACATGTACAGACAAACACACACACAGGAGAAAACAACACAAACAAGGGGAAGAGCTTTTTTCTCTGTTTCATCTTATTTTTGTAGCATTTAAAGTCACTGTTAATTACTCCTTTGTGGGATGCAGTGATGGGTTATAGCCTGTGGAAGATTAAAAAAAAAGAAATGTGTCTTCTTTTCTTCTGTCCCACTGATGCTGTCCTTCTATTGTTCTTCTTCGCTGGTTTGTGATCCATGGTTGGTAGTGGTAGGATGCCTCCAGGTCTGAGCGTCATGTACGTTTGTCTCCTTTTCTGTCCGCGTTGTTTTAGTGGGAGCTGACCTCAGCCATTCAGACCAGTCAGTCGGAAGCAAACACAGAAGTCAGAGCAAGGAGAGAAACACACAAATAAAGATTGTCTTTTTGTCTACTCAAAAACAGTTTGATGGAGTGGATTATTCTTCAGTGGAATTTTATGCATTTGTTTTGCCTCCCAAAAGGCAGATGATTGTATTTATGCACCTGCACCCATTTTTTATTATTATTATTATTATTATTTGCCCAGACTATCTTCCTCTGACGTCAGACTTGGAATGGAGATCATTGAGCTCTGCCAGTCAAAGCATGAAATTATTCAGAAGAAATCACCCTCTCCCATCTTCAGCTGTTCCTCCCTCAGCGATGTGACAGCTAATCTGAACTGCTGACGACGTGGAGACCAAGTGGCTTGATAGCCTTTCCTCTCTTGTTTCCATCAGATTTCCTGCCTGGCGACCGATCAGGGACGGAAACTAACAAAGAGCATGTATTCAAATGTACAAAGTCTTTTTAATTCTGTTGAGTATTTTGATCTACTTTGCACAGACTTACATTTTGAAGTTGCGTGTTGTATCTTTAATTCCACATTTGTTATCTATATACAAGTTGGAAAATGTAATGTTAAAAAAATCAACTTTTTTTGCATTTATACGTATTTAGTTTGTACATGAAACACCTAAAGGCAATAAATAAGATGAAGTTTTAAAGAAATTAAAGCTTTCCTGTGTAGTTTGCATATTGCTTGCTGCCTTTAATGATTGAGTTTCAGACAACTTGTGTTAAAGGGATCCCCGATTAGTTGTAACATTAGACTTTATATGATAAATATATACTTTAACTGTAAAATAAAGACTGTAAAAATACCGTAGGCTGTTTAGTTTTGTAAATTTTTTAAAATCTGTTTTAACATGGACGGAGCCATTTTATCTACA